TGTGGACAGCCTATTGAGTAGGTTGGAAAAGTGTTCAGCCCAGTGGTTTTTCAGTCCTTCTGGTCTTTGGTCAGGCTCAGCCCATCAGATGACAGCAGGGGGGAGAATCCTGATTAAGAAGGACCATAAACTGACTTTATGGCACTGAAAAACTCTCTGGTGACATGCATGTCTGCATAGCATTCCACCTGCTCAGCCTTTCTGTGACACCACTTGTCCTACATTTCTTGCAGTTCCATCTGTACTTTGGACTGTAGGTGCTTAAACTTGTCTTTCTTTGAGACAGTCGATGAACCATTCTGCCAGTCTGCCTTGTTCTTGGCTTGGAGGCCTTGTTCTTGGCTTGGAGGCCTGCTGAAATGGTCTCATGGTTTTCATCAAACCAGTCTTGATGTGCCTGGGTTTTCAGTCCAAGTACAGTTGTTGCAGTCTGTGTGACGACATCTTTAATCTGCATCCGCTTGTCAGAACAAGTTCCCACAAGTGGTAAATTGCTGGAGAGTTTTTCATTAAGTACATCCCGGAAACATTGGACTTGGCCTGGGTCTTGCAGTCTGCCGATGTTGAATGACTTTCTGACAGTCCTTGGTTGCTTACAATGTAAAGGGGCTATGTGCAGGTTGAGGCCTGTGATCTGTCCAGTACTCAGCACCTTGCATGGCTCAGGTGATGGTGATGTCTTTAAAGTTGCACTGGTGTACTATGACGTAGTCAAGTAGGTGTCAGTGTTTGGACCTGGGATGCATCCAGGTAGTTCTGTACTTGTTTGCAAGTCTGAACATCATGTGCATGGGTAGTGCTCGGCACATTTGCTCAGAAGCAGCAGACCACCGCTATCTAGTTTTCCCACCCCATGTCTCCTGAGGACTGTGTCCCAGTTGTTGCTGTCTGTCCCCACCCTAGTGTTGAAGGTGCCCAGAACAACGAGTTTGTCACTGGCGGGGGTTGTCCGAATAGTCTGATCCAGGTCCTCATAGAAACCTTCCTTGTCTTCGTCTGGACTCTCAAGAGTTGGTGCATAGACACTGACAATGGTAATACACTGGTACTTGCTGAGAGGAAAGCGGAACTTCATTAATGCATTCATTTATTCCAGTGGGTAGAGTAGAAATGTTCTTCAGCAGAGCAGTTTTGATTGCAAAACATGACCCCTGTTATCAGTCTGCGGTTTCCCTTTCCAAAAGAACGTATATCCACTCGCCACTTCCTGTAATGAACCCTCGTATGCCAGCCTGGTCTCACTGAGTGCAGCAGTGTCAATGCAATAACAGCGAAGCTCGGCTACTATGAGTGCTGTTCGTCTTTCAAGCCGTGACACCTTATCTCTATCCAGCAAGGTGCGAGTGTTCCAGGCTCCGAAGATGAGTTTTCTTTGATTTGTTTTTCTTGACGCTTGACTGCTAAGGAGATGATCTGCCAGCTGTGACTAGCTAGCCAGATGTTGTGGGGCAGGCGGTGTTTAGGGTACCTTTTCTACACCCCTCCCTCATGTGAAGGTGGGCAGTGCTATCCAGTCAACCTGGATGCTGCTGGACATCTCTGCTGCCCCGGGTACTGAGATGAATGACCACTGGTCCAAGGGCTGCCCACGTAGTTGTAGTTGTGACTACAACTGCCAGTGGTCATCTCCACCTGTTGCTTCACCATTCCCCTATCACCACAGGGCTCAACGAATTAGGTTTGGACTGAGATGGCTTGCAGATGAGTTGTAGATGAAGATGAATTGCACAACAGAAACCTGCGCGTGATGGAGTTGCACAGGGGCAGTCCCACTCTCTCGGCATAAGAGACCTTAATCCAGTGGCATGGAGAACCAAACCTGGAGACCCCTCCTGCTGCAGTGGATGACCAGGACGTGTAGGTGTCTTGTCATGCTCTTAGTGCCCCATGATGCCTGCTGGGCCTGCCTTCTTGACCACTGAACCGTTGGTCAGTCTCCTCTGCTCCATCTCCCAGGGCCAGACTTCACACGTTGGACAGACAGACCCCCCTCTCTCACCGAGAGTTGGAGACCCGTTGACTGCCCTCACCTGGTTTGGCCTGTCTGCCCAGACGGCTTACCAGAAAGCGGCTGCTGCGTGTGTTACAGCTGCTTGGAGTCACAGGTGAGAGCTGAGTGCCAGGCGGGGACCAGAGGTGGACAAGGAGCCCTAGAATGGGGACGGCAGGCCCCTCCACCAGAGGTGCTGCCCCTCCCGGGACACCCCACACGCCCCTCTTTTATCGTATTCTTTTTCTAGAGTTGCAGTCCAGCCCAGTATAAGCTTGAGCTGTCCCAAAAGTGGCCCATTGTCACCTCTTGTAGTCGTTTAGCAGAATTCTGCCAAGCGTCTCTCCAGGCCCTTAAAGCAATCCCCCTAATGCTCCTTCCTTCACTCTAGTTACCTTTCCTTTTGTGTAAGAGAACAGTAACGGTATTCTTCAGTTGTCAGACACAGATGTGGTCTTCATAGATGTTAAACAAATTGCACAGTCCAATGCATATTTCAAGATTTCTCCAGTTATGCCATCTACATTTGCAGCTCTACCATTTTTCAATGTTCTCTCAGCATTTACAGTTCTTTCCATGGTTTTTTTCTTGGATACCAGCATTTAAGAGTTACTTAGGTGAGATGGGTGGCTATACAAATTGAATAAATATAAATAAAATAATATAAAAATAAAAATTGGTTTCAATTCCACCCAGACATACCATTCCAATACAAATATCTAAAATTGTAGAGGTAATCTTAAGGTATGCAGCAACAGTTAAAGTAGGATAAGAAACAAATGAGGGCTGACAGAGGTATCCCTTCCAACATTCACTTCAGTTTCATCCCAAGTAATTTTATCTGTGTTGATTTA